ACTTTAACTAGTTAATTGCCAAGGAAACATTTCTATTTTTTTTGTTTTTGTTTTTAAGTTTAATATTTATATTTGATATATTTTTATTTATTTGTCTATCTATCAGCTGTATAGATTATTGTACTTATGTACTTAAGTACTTGTACTTCTAAGCTTTTTTTAAGCTTAATATTTATATTTTTTACATTTTTATTTAATATTTTATTATATTTACTTTATATTTTATATATCTATATTCCAATTAACCAAAAAAATATATATATATTTTTTTTTTTTTGTAATAGTTTTAGTTAACAATAACAACACTGATTACAGATTTGGTTAGGGATTCTGGCAAATCATGTTGAAACCTTCAGCTCAGTTCTTTCTCCTCATCTCTCTTCCAGGTGAAAAACCATTCGAGTGTCGGCTGTGTGGCCAGCGTTCACGTGACTATTCGGCTATGATCAAGCATCTGCGTACTCACGGTGGCGCCACTCCTTACCAGTGCACCCTGTGTCTGGAGTTCTGTAGCAGCCTGGCAGCCATGCAGAAACACCTGAAGAATCACCCCACGCAGGACTTCCCTCCAGACTGGAGCCTGAGCAGCACGTACCTGTACAACTGCCACACCTGAGCCCTGCGCGATAAAGCATGTAGATATGGAAAATTTTATACAGATTTGATATTTTGAATACTTTTATTAATCTATTTTGAAGCCATTACTAATATGATTATATATTTAATATACATACAAAGGGCATTTATGTCAGTTGATTTTTGTTTTCGTTGAAGACGTCTTGGGTGAACACTTCACTCACCAATTAAGATGAAGTAGACAGTAATTTGCCAATGCTTATAACTTTCTCTGTGAAATATCATCACAATAGCATAAAAAATATTTGTTTGTTTATTTATTGAGATGGTCAAATCTGTACCATTTATATAAGCACTCACTATGTGATCTATTTACACACTGTATAAAATCTTTTAATAAAAGCATTATGGTCAAAATGGTCAGTGTCTGTTTTAATGTAGAAAAATGCAGCATACAGAACAGCAAGTAGCTTCAGTATGTGACAGCATATTCTGTATAAATGGATTTAAGGCAGTAAGTGTAGAGATATGTATTTATTTATGTCTTTGACAAAACATTTCCATTTACAGCAATTATGACAGAAGGTTTTAAGATTAAAAGCTATGTAGTAAAGTAACAATAAGACAGAATAGACATTTTGAATGGCCATCAATGGTGAAAAGATGCTTAAGAGTGTAGTTCTGCCATCTATCAGCAGAAGCTGCCATGCAGGTCAAATAACACGAGGAGGAAAGTTTTCATCTTTCTCAGTCTGGAAAAACCGGTCGTGTGGTTGCAGCGATGATTTGCGGGAAGTATAGCCTAATGACACTGGGGTTTAATGTGTGATGCAATCAGATGCTTAAACATTACAACTTTTGTTGATTTCGATTGCTTCCATTGTCCTCATTTGCAAGTCGCTTTGGATAAAAGCGTCTGCTAAATTACTGTGTAATATGTAAATGTGCAACACCGCATTGATGCTTAATTGTAGTTTACTGAACCTCTGTACATCAAGAATAACCAAAGATTTTGCAACAGAATGGCAAACATACCCTAACTTGAGCAATTATACATCAACAATATGGAGATATTCTTTCAAGGGTAATAAAATGGACTGGAACAATTGTTTTCATGTAAAATACATTTATTGCTTTTGTATTAGACAGCGCACATACATACACACACACACACATATATACACACACAAAGTATTTGTAGGCTGGTTCGCCTCAGTGCATTCCAATGCAATGCTTCAGTTTTAACCATAACAGTGAAAGAGTTCAAGGTAAGAATCAATTACAAACTTTTCAGTTTTTACAACAAAT